GTGCTTCGCGTGAATTAGGCGAGGTCTGTGTCGAGAACAATTCTGTGCCGGCATCGTTGAAAGGCAACCATATATTTCTGATGAACTTGGTTTCACACCTGCGCATTCCGTTCCGTGCCAACATAATCTGGAGACCTCTTGCCTCTCTGATCTTTTGCTCTCTGGAGTCTTTTGGCCCGAGACCTGGTGTTCCTAGGCCGTGTATCTAAGCACACGGAATCCCGCCATGACAACCTATGTGTTTCAGTTCTTTGCAGATAGCAGAGCTACAGCGAATTCCTCGCCAGCTCAGCAGTGGTCACTAATTCGTCCTGCATGCCACGAGCCAAGCCTTCTTACCGTGCACGCGCCCGATCCGAATAGGCCTTCCCACCGTGTCTTGGAAGCGCCGCCAGGATTTTTTGACCCCCCCGAGCAGCAGTCTCAACCTGATGCTCGTCAGGACAGACCGCAGACTCGTCAACGGGACAAATCACGATCCTGTCGACGTTCCCGTTCCCGGAATCAAGTGCGCAAGCACAGAGATCGAACCTCTCGCGAGCGCAGGGGTAGGGGTCGGCGTGACGATCGCCACGCCAAGCGCCACAGAAAGCGTTCCAGGCAAGGCAGGTGTCGGAGTCGAAGCCTCCCTCGCCAACCAACGCTGCCGCCAAACACCCCGGAACCCCCTGGGCACCCTGGGCACCCTAGGCACCCTGGGCACCCTGCGACCCCTCATCAAGCTGCAGCGCGAAATGATTTACTTGCATTTCCTCCCGGGCGGTTTGATGTCCCACAGCGACCACATCCCGCGCCGATCCAATCTCACACGCCATGGCTTACTAGCAGGGGTCAGCCGCCTCAGTCGATTTTTTTCAAAAACCGACCGGCTCAGCCTCCGGCATCTGGTTCCAAGACTAGTGCCCTAGGCTACGGACCTCTTTACCACCATGCTCCACATAGAGCAACCCCGCTAGTCACTGCAAATGATAAGAGACCGCGCACACCCGAAAGAAAGACGGCTGCTCAAAACCGGCAGCCCGTTTCCTGCGCGCAGCCTGCCAAGCGGGTCACGCGACATGAAGCCTGGTCTTCTGACGAATTCCGCCCTGGTACACCGGTCCTTGAGAAGGACACTACTCCGAAACATCCCGAGGCAGCAGGGTCAAAACCTGATGCAAACCTCGTTGTTCGAACCTCAGTTGAAAATCGGGAGTCGGAATTCACCGCGGGTGGTCTCATTGTGCCTGGCCAGACGTTCGTTGATCAGACAGTCCAAGACTGGCTTCAACGCATTCTTCGACGACAGGCAGATAACATGCTCTCCCCGCACTGGCTGTTCCCGTTGACGATTCAAGACGTCGTGGAACACCAGCGCCGAAAGGCCTGGGTTCAAGCTAATGTGACACCTTTCAGCCGCGTCCCGCCGTCTAGTGTGGAACAATGCGTTCGGCACCTTTTAGTTTTGGCGCCCGTAGCACCAGAGGACCCGGTCAATGGTGTTCCGATCTCAACCGTGCATGTTTTGGCCAGCGCGATCATTGCTTCGGAAATGCCGTACACCCAGATTTTTGTCCAGCGTGCGGTAGCAGCTACAGCCACTACCGGCACCGCTGTTTGGCTGTACCCGTCCCAAGCTTTTCCCGGAGTCAATCAAGACCGTGTAGCTGGCGAGTATTCCATGCGGTTTGTTCATTTTTCTTCTCAGCTAGGCCTAGCCGGGATATTTCGCACCGGCATCATCATGCCAACTTCGGCTGAAACCTTAGCGCTTGACTCTGAAAATGAGTCCCAGGTCGGCAGGAAATGCCCATTAGGTTTTTTTCTGTAGAGTTTCGACCGAGTGCTACCATGAGCGGAGTATCCTTGACTTTTTGCTTGCGTGCTCGGAGCACCCCAAAAACACCACCAATGTGGGAGTAACGGGGACTGTGTCCGGCACTCATTACAAGTTCAACCGAGGGAATACCTGGAAGGAACAAGCTCTTGCCTATTCTTACCCCGCAGTGCGTAGTGGCAGCAAAGACAAACGATGGTGTGTGCGCAGCGATTTGGCTGCCATCGACGGAGTGTTCCTAGTGCAAGATCACTCAGACAACTGGGGCACCAAGTGGTTGCCCCAGCCACTGCGCCCATCAGTTGCCATACAATCCTGACTAATCCTTGGTCGCTGATATCCAGCGGCGAATAATTCAGATTCGTGATTCGGGGTGTTGCATGGCATGGCCTTGTCGCATCAGCTATTGCACCTGACCTTTCAATCCGTTCCGGCATGTTCGCATGATAAGCATCTTGACAGCGTTGCAAAAAATGCCCTGTACGTCGGTGTGATGTTCTGATCGTAGTCAATTTTGTGACCACGTGCCATCGTGCCATGTTCGCTGTACAGCATGGGCACTACCACGTTTGCTTTTTTGTTCTGCTTTCGGCTCGAATCCAAGCTTTTGGTTTCCTGTGCCTTTAATCTCAGAAGTCGCAAATTCCAGACCGTTTGAGCCTTCAGGCCACCCAGGTTGGCGAGACGTCACGCAATCTCGGAGTGTGGTTGGGTTTCGTGGGGGTGGTTCTGGGTTTAGCCTGGCCTGCCTCCCCTCCGGCTGCACGTGGTCATACGCCGCGATGGCCAGGGGGGCAGGGCACAGGAATCCCTGGGTGGATTCCCCGCCTGTGTTTCTTGGTTTTCTTGGGGCGTTCCTTTGTTTGGCCTGGCCTGCCTCCCTCCAGCCGCACGTGGTTACACGCCGCATTGGCCAGGGGGGTAGGGCACAGGAAGGAATCCCTGCGTGTCGCTGGGCTTCTTTGTTTTCTTTCTTTGGTTTTCTTGGGGTTTTCCTTTGTTTTTGCCTGGCCTGCCTCCCTCCAGCCGCACGTGGTTGTTCGCCGCAATGGCTTGGGGGGCAGGGCACAGGAAGGAATCCCTGGGTGTGGTTGGGTCCCTCTCGGGCTTCTTGGTTTTGTTGGGGCTTGGTCTGGCCTTGGACGCCGCAATGGCCAGGGGACTAGGTGAGGAAGGAATTCCTGGGCGTGATTGGATTCCCTGCCGGAGTTTCCGTGGAGCGCAAAGACCTTTGCAGTGTTGAACGCTTCCGTGCCGAGCACTCGGATTTTTCAGCGGTTTCGGATGTACTTTGCCTCGGCGAACCATGATCTGAGTTGCATATGCCCCATATATTTGAGGACCGACAACACGGTCCCTCTCTCTCTTTTTGGTTTTTTCCGGCTACCTTTTGAAGGAACCCTCCCACCGAACAATTGGCGGCTTTGGTGTTCACCGCAGTTTCATCCAACAAAGAGGGATGCTATACCTCTCGCCCCTGATCCCCACGCCGGTTCCCTGAGCTCGCGAGCTCTTGCCCGAAGAGCCAGATGCCTGTGTTGGTACCTAGTCATCAAAGGCTTTTCTGTTATTGCGCTTTAACGTGCAGAGTCGCCCTTTGGTCTGGCTGTGTGTGTCCAACCCTGTCACTAAGGGCCTCTCGTGTTTTTTGCCGCAGCGGTCTGGAATGGCTGCACCAGGCTGCTTAATGCGCCAGGCGCATTTACCATTTGAACTAGCGCTTTTCACGCGCCAGACCAATGCCCAATCTGGGGCAAACGGGTAGATTAGCTAGCCTGCGCAATTTTTGCAATCAGACAAAGCATGACACGCAGGGGGCCAGAGCCCGGCTCAGGGGACTCTGGCCAACAAAAAAAAAGAACGAGAAAAAAAAAAAAAACAAAATAAAAAAAACAAAAGAAAAAAAAAATAAAAAAATAGAAAAAAAAAAAAAAAAAAAAAAAAAAAAAAGGAAAAAAAAAAAAAAAAAAAAAAAAAAAAGAAAAAAAGAAAAAAAAAAAAAAAAAAAAAAAAAAAAAAAAAAAAAAGAATAAAAAAATACAAAAAAAAATTAAAAAAAAAAAAAAAACAAAAAAAAAATAAAAAAAAAAAAAAAAAAAAAAAAAGAAAATAAACAAAAAAAGAACAAAAGAAAAAAAAAAAAAAAAAAAAAAAAAAAAAACAAAAAAAAAAAAAAAAAAAAAAAAAAAAAAAAAAAAAAAAAAAAAAACAAAAAAAAAAAAAAAAAAACAAAAAAAAAAAAAAAAAAAAAAAAAAAAAAAAAAAAAAAAAAAACAAAAAAAAAAAAAAGAACTCCCCTTAGCCCGGGGTGACCAACCGATAACCTGCATGTTCACGGACAGGCATGGGCGCAGTTGACGCAGCTTGCTGTCCCATTTGAACTTTTTGGCGCTGTTTGCGTTTAGAGCCCCTTTGCTACAAACCTTGCTCCGATTAATTCAGTTTCATTACTCCGATGTCTCACCATTTTCCCGTTTAGCCATTGCGGCTTATGATCCTGTACCCTCGACTGTAACTAGATCAACAAGCCACGAGCACACGCATAGGAGAGCCGAAGCATAAATCAAAGAGGGGGGATTACCACAAGTGTGTGTCTCTGTGATTGCGTACCATGGTTTGAGGAACTTGCAGTGGGGTTTGTGGTATTTACCCCTAGGGCCCCTACCCCCGAATGGCTGCTTTAGGCTGCGGCTGCCACCAAGGCTTTGTTGGCTTGGTCCAACTGAGAGGCCTTAGGCGACATGGCGACATGCGCCGGCACAATCCACGGCATCCCATGGGCTCAAGATGAGGGCCGTAGAACCCCCCGAGCTCTGGCCAATGGCTTGTGCTGTTGCCACAAAATTGAGCCCATGGCTCTGCGTAGCTTCAGGTTGGGGTCGGCCTCCGCCGGAAAAATACGGTGAAGGGATTGGAAACTGAGAGTTGCAAGTTCAAAAGCATTGAGGATGGAACAAGGACCGCTGCAAGATATCCAGGGAATGGCCATGATAGCTTTGTTTTTGTACCCTGACGCGGTGTGCCGAGTCTGGACAAGCTGAGACCCAAATGCCCTCCAGGTATAATAATCCACTCGTGTGCGTGTGCCGCACTATGTGGGTATGTCTTGAGTGTGAAAAACCCGGGGGCCACGTTTGTTTCCGTCTTGTTCCTGCATGATTCAACCAAAACAGGTGGCCTCCAGTCACACGACACCTGCCTCCGCAGTCTCTCGAGCTGCTTCGGCCGCCAGGAAGGCCAGGCGCGCCAGACGCGCGCAGTGCTGCGCCTTGAGGTAGTCGCAGCTCAGCGAGTCCTCGGGGCAAAACTCGTTTCGAGGCCCTGGCCGAGGGAAACACGGCAGAGGTGGCTTGAACAATGGGGGCAAAAGGCCTAAACCATGGTGAGGGAGTTGGGCAACTTCAAGCCATGGCTTCCAAGTTGGGTCGTTCCGACCGCCGTCGCCTCCCAGCCGAAGAGCAGCGGGGGGCGCAGCGGGTCCGCGCCCGTCTCCTGGGCCACGGCCCCCGCCAAGGCCTCGGCCGCGCCCCGCAAATCGCCGCGCGCGGCGCGGCAGTCGCACTGCAAATGCCGCAGCAGCACCGCCACCGGCAGCGCCTTGCACTGGCTCAGTCGGCCAGCCTGGGCCGCGAAACATCGGACGGAAAGGGACTGGAAGAGTGGGAAGAGGCCCAAAAAAACGAATGCAATGCCATGCCTCTAACCAGTTCCCCTTTTTAGGCAGGCCTGGGGTCTTCCTTTCAACAACCCTGCGGTTGGTTTCCTGTGAAAGGGGAGTTGGACCAGTGGTTGCGCATGGCGCTCCGATTTCAGCCTCGCGGCCTCCAGTGTCAGGAAGCCACAAATCTTGGCCTCCAGGTCCTCTGCCGCCTCCGGGCTCAAGCAGGACGGGGACCACAAGGCGTCAGGCCACGAGTTCGAAGTCCCCCGCCTCAAATGAGTCCTTTCCTTCGTTGATTGGGGAGAAGAACAAAAACAAAAACAAACAAAAAACAACAACCAAAATCATGGCATGCGTCAAGTCGATACTTCTCCAATCCAACTCAAACCTCAAAACTCGATCAGCTCCCATGGGAACTGCCAAGTTTCGAAGGCGATGGCCTCCAAAGCCACCTTCCACGCCTCCGCATCCTCCAGCCCCTCGATCACATCCGCGTGCGCGCCCGGGACTTCTGTCCACTCGCGCGCGGCGGCCGCCGCGCGGCGCTGGCGCGAGGACTCGGCGCTCAGCGCCAGCCCGGCGCTGCGCCGGGAGATGTAGCGGGAGATCTCCACCCGGGACAAAGCGCCCCAGTCGCCGTCCAACTCCTCGCCTTCGGCTCGTTCGGCAATCGCAACTCCCTGCACCTCCGCAACATGGTTGAGGCTCTCGAGCTCGGCGTCCGGCGCGGCCGCCTTCGCATATGCCACGTGCTGCGGCTTGGGCGGTCTTTGGCCCTGCAGCACCGGGCACAGCGCTCGGTGCTGCGCTGCACGCTCGCGCCACTTCCCGGGCAGCTCGTCCCCCGTGGAGCGCGGCGCGCAACGAGACTGCCAGGTGAAGTGCGACTGGTGCTGCAGTGCGCGGGCGGTCATCTGAAGACGAAACCGGTTGCAAATCGGGAATTCCGGAAGACTGCCTGGGTCAAACTTGGATGTGTAAAGTCACGAGTTCATGTGATGATGCTTTGCTGGAGCTGCCAAAAGATCATTGATATGTTCCCTGACCATATGACCTGGCTCAAGATCATATTCTTTCCTGGACATTTCGAGCACAGCCAACATTCGGATATCGCAACAAGACCAAACTCTCATGCCAACGCAGCACTTTCTCACCGCATCCCCCCGCCATTGACGCCAATGGCGCTTCCCCTCTCAGCTTCGGCTAAGCTGAGAGAAGCCATGATCACGGGGAGGTCGCCTCCTGCACAGTGTCCATGGCATTCATCATCCTCCTGAGCCGAAAAGGCGATCAAGCTGAGCCAAATGGATGATTCACTTGGCCACCCTGGCCTCTGGTCACTTTCCAAGCTATCCAGCACGTTGGCTGCCTCACAAGCTCGATCAAAAGGAGGTGCTGGGAGATTGCAAGCAAACGATGCAGAACGCCATCGCTCGCCTGCTGTCGATCAAGCTGTCCTGCATCTACTGCATCTCGTATCTCACTGTAGATCTGGCAGATCCAAGCAATCCAAGCGCATGGCTCGGGCAACCCACCTGGGCACTCTCCAGAGCTGCGCGAGCGAAGGCAGAAAGCGAATCTAGGACCTCACCACGGCAATCCCATGCTGAACTGAATTTGCCGGATATGACGGATGTGAGACTGAATGTGACCGATAGTGCCTAAAAAATGCCTGACATGACTGATACTACTTTTTATCACTTTTGTTTTGATGTCTGAGATCTGCACTCCTCTGGAATCCGTGCCGTTGATGTCCGCCTGCCATCAACGGCTACGGGAACAAAAGAAAGCCGACGCGCCGCTGCGCCTCATGGACCAAGGGCTGCAGGCGGAAAATCTTGGCCTCGCGGACCCATCCAACGCGCCGAACGCATCAAACATCGACCCTGCCGCCGGCCCCTACCGGCCGAGCGGTGCGCCTTTGGCACGGCCTGTGCCCGCAGGGTCAGCAGATCCTGGCGCATTCTGTGGGTACAACATGGACATGGGGTATCTTTCTTTGACGGTGCCTTTTCTGGGGCTGATGTGTGGGGAAGCCTGTCTAGAGGCAATCCCGTTCAGACAGGCTCATAGATCTTAAGATTGAATCCGCCATTCACATCGGTCTCATCTGGTCAAGTGCCGGAGTGCCTGCAGGAACTCATCTGGTCGACTGAGCGCTCCTGCCCATTCCGAAATCCAGATTTAGAAACGACTTTGAAAAACCAAACTCAGGATCAAAAACCCTGGCTGATTGATGCGCGGTGTCCTATTGACTAGGAAATCGATCGAACTTGCCGGGCTCTCCAGGCCAAGTGGCCTGAGAAAGCCGCGAGTACTCGGCTAGCATCGCTGCTCTCGGTGACAGGAACGTACCTTGCGTGCGATCCATGAGAAGAAACGGAGAACAAGTCAGCGCACTCGAAGAAGACACAGAAGCAAGTGGCCAGCATCACTTCTTTCGTAGCATGCCTCACGCCACACCCGATCGCTCGAGACAAGGATTTGTCTTGGCCTTCTTAGCCCCTCGTCTTGTGTGAGAGTCTCGCCGATGTTCCTCAGTCATCTAGCATGAAAGCAATGCAACACCCCATGGAATCTCATCACAGACTCACTTGGGCATCTTGATCCAAAGCTCTGCAGATCTGCTTTGTGATCTTGCAGGAACAGCAGGGCGTCGACCATCTGCAATTGCTTGGCCATGGGTCAAATCCCCGTACCCCAGTGAACATCCCAATCCCCACTAAAATAGACTAAAGTGGGTGGTGCACCTACCCACAGCCACTTTGACAAGATGACATGTCGCGTTGAGGCTGACTGTTTGTCACGTTGTCGCCTGCCTCGGCTGTTGGTTGAGACAAGCGGTCGCATAGAAGATTCTGCCTCCGTTCTCCCAAGACACGGGCCCAACGCGGTGAAGGCCAGGACTGACAGTCTGAGGCTGCCGACCGAAGGTGAGTGCGGTCAGTATGGCCGCATACAATCTGCAACAAAAACGAGACCAAGCTACATCTGTCGCACTAAAACGATCAACCAGTGAATTCCCTGGAGGCCAGGTGCTATATTTCATGCTTTAACAGTCCAACGGTACGAGACAAGCGATGAACATATCTTTTCGTTGTGAGCCTATGCCGGGTTGCAGATTGTTGCTCACTCTTTATGTTGACACACCATGAGCACGTGGCTGAGGCCTGAATTGCCCCCCTTGTCCGAGCGCGCACACCCCGTTTGTGCGCATTCTATGTGGCCCCTGCTTTCCTCCCGGCCAACCTCTAACAGGCCTTGTCAGCGTGTTGGAAGCTTGATTGTTTAGGCCCCTATTTGGGTGAAACAATGAGGAGGGATCAAGGGCCCATGCCTTCTGCCCGGTCAGCAACGTGTTTCCCATTGCACACCGGCCGCGTCTGTCAGTCGCGCCGTGTTCTGAGAGAAATCACCCAAACTTGGTTTCGAAAGTTTACAAACGTCCTGACTGCTTATCATTCCTAATGTCTGTGTGCTATCCAACATGCCCTCCATGACTGTCGCTTGTGGACCTCGACTTCCTGCGAGAAGCAGCGAAAGATATTGAAAGGCTGCAAGCATGCTGGTCTGCAATGCCACCAGCATGAACAGCCAGGGTGAGGGTTTTTTTTGCACACACACACACACACAAGCGCACGGCTCGTAGTAATAAGTGGTGAAACGCTTACCAACAACTGATCTTTGCCATTCGAATCTGTTCCGACATTCCAGTCTCTGACGGCTGCTGATCTCAGACATGGGCCCAAGGAAAATGGCTCAGAAAGCGTTGTTTTCAGGCAGCGGCACGTCAACCTAGGCTCCAGCTCTTCAATTTGTTTGAGCTCTCCTAGACTCAAACTCCTCGGGTTTTCGTCGTTGGAAATCAACCCCGAGTTTCAGACTGCCTTGATTCACAAAGTGTCATTCATTTTGGGAACCCGTAGGACATCATTTACATGGGTGTTGTGTCCATGTGGGTAGATAACCCAGTACCTTGGCGGAATCAAATGGGTATGTTACATGTGTGTCAAAATAGGTACCTCAAATCTGCTGGTTGTCCTGTTGGTTTCCCTAATGCGACCTGAAAGGGGTAGCCACCAAAAGCACACATATCCACATGACTCCTCATGGATGCTGCAGGAACCCACAACTACGAAACCGTTTTTTAAAAGACGCCCGACGATTTGTTCGAAATCTTAAATGGCCATGGGTCCAAATCCGAATCCTACCCCCAGTGAATGGTGAATTCACCTACCAAAATGGGATCCAACGGTTTTGACTCACGGCCTTCTCCATCCAGGTCCCCCGGCGTGCTCCCGCGCGTGGATCAGCGAGGGCGGCCGCGCGAAGAGGGAGCGGCCGTGCCGCGCCATACGCCCGGTGCACACCTGCGGCCGGCGAAGCGAAGCGAAGCGAAGCGGCGGCGTCGCGTTTGACGTTGGGAGCAAAAGCTTGATCCAGATCTCAGAGTGGTTTGGAATTCCAATCAGCCATAAGCACAAATTGTTGATTTGGGCAGTTGAGCGAAGTGGGATTTCAACCACTAGACCGCAAATAAGCAAAAATGCAAAATGTGTCCCAGCAACCACCGGGGGGCCTCCTTGGTGGTCTTGCCAGTGCACAAGAGGAAGAGATGGAAGATGGTCAAGCCCACCACGCCTGGGCGGTTCCATTTGAAAGGAGGGTTTTCACCTTTGGGGAAACCAAAAGGAAACCTGCTAGACAAACCAAAAGGGCAACCCTGGGGGAAGCCAAATGGCTGTGGGTCAAAAATGCGCACCCAAAATGGAACCCTGATAAATGGAACCAAAGACTAAAACCTGCGGTCCCCTGGTGGGTTTATTTTGACCCATACACATGGAAACCCCCATTTCCGGGTTGCCTCCATGACAAAGCTGCCCTGGGGCCTTGCCCTGCCGGCAAACACGGCCGAGCACCGCGCCGACAAGCAGAACCGCCGTGGCCAGCCCAATCAGGACAAGGAAGCCCACGATCCACGGGCTACTGCCGATCTCTGCTCTCAAGTCTACTGCAAATGCGGAAAAATTGTGGAAGATGCCAACAGCTGTGAATGGACCTGACCGACTTAAACGACCAGCCGCTCATGTGACTCAGTCCGCCAGCCACACAGCCACACAGCCACACAGCCACACAGCCACACAGCCACACAGCCACACAGCCCACACCTTCTCTTCCACGCGGCATCATGATGTGTGCACCGAATGCCTCAGCTAGGGCCTTTCTGGCATGTGCTGCGCAGCCACTTAGGCGCGGAACCGACGCCCACTGCGACAGAGACCCCCAGGCACCTGCAACTTGAATTGGAGATGCAGCGAGCTCATTCTTCGAGCTGCGCGCACCCAGTGGATATCAGGAAGGCGGAGAAAAACACGTAGTTCCTGGCACAACCAAGCGTCACTGCCACGCTGCCTCAGACAATCGGGTGTCCTCTGCCCAATACAATTGTTCACGAATGGACAGTGATGGTCAAACCTCGGTGACATTCTCTCGCAACGCCTGGGTGTTTTGGGTCCAAGTGTCCAGCGTAAGGACACAGTTACCGCAGTCATTGCAGTGTGAGGTGCGAGGTGGGCGAATCACCTTGCACCAACAAGAATCCCAAGAATCTCAAGCTGGTGCTCAGGGAATGAGACATGGAATGGTTTCCTTTCAGCTGACCCCGTTTTGGTTCATTCCCACCATCCGCCGCCGAATGCAAGGAAAACGCAGGCTGACTGCGGCCTCGCAGGTGTGACAGAAACGATAACCCTGGGTCTGCCGCCTTAGCGCGCGAGCCAAGCAAAGTCTGAGAGGTGGCGCAAAGGGCCAAGCAGATCTGACAACACCGGAGGCATCATGCCATCTGCTACCTTAGCAGACTGGCGTTAATTTCTGTGTGTCATTCACCAGGAAACAAGGGGCAAACTGCAAATTCAGCTCAGAACATGCCATCATTCAGCTCAGAAGCGCAATCGTCAGGTAGTGCTAGAGTTCGAGCCACTTCGTTTTCCAACCTCGGCATGCCCCGCTCTCCGTAAAGTCACGACATTTGGCCATGGGTCAAAATCCAAATCATACCCCCAGTGAACATCCCAATCCAACCACTAAAATAGGTTCTAAAATGGGTGGTGCACCTGCCATTTGGCGATAAGGCCAGCTCCCCGGCAATCGCATGCGCAGTCTCTGGCGGGGCAAAATACCTCGGAGCTCTCTGATGGCACGCAAAACAACGCACAGTTCTGCAGCCTGGGTCTGTACAGGAGGTCAGCAGAAGAAAAGCGATCGTTGCCAGCAGCACCTGACTGCGGCAAGTTGGTCCTGGTGCGAAAACCACTCACTGAGAGCCAGGACAGCAGCAGTGAAGATGGGCAACCATGGGCTGACCTTCTCCCATAGATACTGAGAGCCTGGTCTGCAACACATCTCCCGGTCTGAGCTGGAGAATCTTAAACCCTGGACTTCACAGCGCGTCATGAGCTCATGGCACAGGGCAAAGTACAAGAAGGACGGAATGAGGATGAAAGACCTCACTCCGTGCGGGGATCGAGACAAATGGCGGCCTTGGCCTTGGGATCCGGCCAGGTACACAAGTTGTACCAGAGGTCGATATCCGGGCCGGTGACGCACCGGCCACAACAACAAAACCTGGGCTTTGACACCGCTTCGTTTTTGGACCAAGAGATGTCCGGCCTGGTTCTGCTGTCCTCCCCAAGGTCAGGCCACACTTCATACACCCGGGGCGGACACCCCAAGTTGTTCAGCCTGGGCTCAAGTGAGCCAACTACGAGGGACCGTTTTTTTGGGGGCCCGGCGGTGTCGTCGCCGCAACTGTGCCTGCGGTGACTCGCAACCCAAACCCTAAAGGCCACACCTTTCCCTAAGCCCAGCACGGGCAGGGAAGGTATCCCGAGAGGTGCCCACTCCAAAGATCTCAGTCAGACAAAAATCTGAAAAAAATATCTCTCAAAATCGGATTTGTCCCATAGCTGTGGGTTCCTTTTGGCTTCCTTTGCATGCCAGCCAAGCCAACCAAAAGGGCTCCGAGGCTCCACATCCAATTAAGTTAGCCACGGGCCACACCGTGGACATGGATCCAGTGCTGCTCCCCTCCTCTTCGTCACCCTGCGGCACCACCTGGCGAGAAAAGGAACTTGAGCGAAACATCTGGCAGGCATCCCACCCATCTGGCGATGTGTCAAAGATCTAGATGGACAAATCCAATCTTCGGTTCTTCGGCGTGCCACCAATCTTTTCTGTTTTGCATCATTGGCGCTTGCCAATCCCATCTCGTAAGCCAATCTTGCATTCAACATCTGGCAAGCGAAGATGTCTCAAAGATGTAGATGGAAAAATCGCATCTTCGGATCTTCGGCATGCCACGCTGACCTCCATCGAAGCCGTCGCTGGAGCTGGCTGTGAACTCTGGGAACGCCTTAGCTTAAATGAGAACTTCCCCTTGCCAAAAGGCCCAACACATCAAGGCATCTTCATCATATGAATGCATATGAATGACATGTCAAAAAAAGGTGCTCTGTTGGCAGGTTGCTCATCCCCCCCCTTGGTGGCTTGAGAGACTTCCTGAGTCCATCTTGGCGTCCATCTTGGACTTAATTGTGTGTCAAACATTGGGCTGCGGTATGCCCCGCTCAGTGCGCCCAGTCTATCTGTCACAACCTGCAGTCAAGCTCGTCTTGCTTCCCGTTGTAATTCACAATACCTCTCTTGCTTGGCCGCCTTTTCGACTGGCTTCAATATTCCAAGCCCATCGTGCAGAGTCTCATCTTTCCGTGCCCTCATTCACCGAGCCATCAATCTTACATGAGGTCCATTGCAGTGGTCTCTTGTTTGACTGATAGGTAAAAATGGCCCAATAAAATATTGTGTCGCGCGCCGTATATTTGCCATTTCTGTGACGCGGGATACGGCAGGGAACGTGCGTGCGTGCTCATGCACTGTCTCGGAAATCATAACACATTGAAACAGCCAGCGAACTACAACGTAGCATTGCAAGAATGGTCTGGGCTAGCACTGTGTGGAGGCGAGTGACTAAGGATGCGACGAGGGAGCACTTGAGCCATCTTCCATCTCCATAGGCTCTCCAATATTTGACAAGGAAGATGTTTGGCCTTTGCCGCCCTAGTTGAAGCTGGGGCGGGTTCCACTGCCTGCACGTCTTCAATCGCGTTGGCATTGCACTTGTGTCTTGACCATTCAAACAGCTCGCGAGTCTTTGTCCCACGCCAATCTGCTGAATGACTTCATTCGCTGCATGTCAGGACTTGAGCTCGAAAAGCTTCGACACGCCACACGCAACTGATCCGAGACAAGGAACAAAGACTTGTACATATGTATGTGTGCATATTTCCCCACCCGACAGGAAGGGGTTGTTAGATTTTATGTTGGAATCCACGTTTGCGATGCTTCTACACCACGCCCCCACCCAGTATCCCGCCAGAGCAGCTCTCCAGTGGATCCCGCCAAGTATCCCGCCAGAGCAGCTCGTCAGTGGATCCCGCCGAGTATCCCGCCAGAGCTGCTTGCCAGTGGATCCCGCCCAGTATCCCGCCAGAGCTGCTCGCCAGTGGATCCCGCCGAGTATCCCACCAGAGCGGCTCGCCAGTGGATCCCGCCGAGTATCCCGCCGAGCCGCTCGCCAGTGGATCCCGCCGAGTATTCTGCCAGAGCGGCTCGCCAGTGGATCCCGCCGAGCATTCTGCCAGAGAGGCTCGCCAGTGGATCCCGCCGAGTATCCCGCCAGAGTAGCTCGCCAGTGGATCCCACACAGTAGCTCGCCAGTGGATCCCGCCGAGTATCCCGCTGAGTATCCCACACAGTAGCTCGCCAGTGGATCCCGCCGAGTATCCCGCTGAGTATCCCTTGCCAGTGGATCCTGCCGAGTATCCTCCCAGTATCAAGCCGGAGCGGCTCGCCATTATTCGCCAGTGGATCCCGCCAGTGTCCCGCCAGAAAAGCTCGCCAGTCTGGTTTTGCTTAATGTCCCGCCCGGCGCGCAGTGGGGCTGCCCTCGCGTTTTGCGAGAGATCGGAAAGGGAAGCTTTTGTGTTGCTTTGGGTTGTGAATAAGCAACTTCGTTTAATCCCCCGTCAGGTTTGTGTTTGGAAGGGGCTTGGCTTTTGTTAACGGAACCGATGTTCGAGTTCTCGAGATCAGTTCGCAGACAAGTGGAGTTTGACGGTCGTAAGCTCGTGAGTGTGGAGGGTGGGGGTTGCTCGAAGCGAAGTAATTTTATGATATAGTACATAGGTATACATACTTGTCATAGTGGGAGTGCCAGATGTGAATGAAACTGGGAATGTATCAACACGGCGCGTTGTCTGTAATTACCTGGGCTTGCTCCACTGCAGGCTCAAGGCCTTGCCGGACCAGGGATGCAAGTATACACATGGATGAATTGTGGCACGTTGATTGATGTATCTCAAGCCAAAAGCTGTTTGAAGCTGCGTCCACATGTCCGAGACATGCCCGAGATGTTAAAGGTTGCGCAGGTCGTAATCGGGCAGGGGTCTGCATCTACCTGCAAACGCACACGCCGGCTGCTTTAGTGGGAAGTCAAATACGTGAACTCTGCAACTGAAGTTTAGCACGTTGCGCAAACTGGCGCGGGGCTTCTGCAACCGAGTACTGGGCCACGGGCACGGGTTCACCCCAGCCATCACGAGACCTGAGCGAGGCTCAGATTTGACGGCTGGAACCTTTGAGAAGCCTCCCTCATTTGCAAACACAGGCCTCAAGGTGGATATTGGTGGGGACCACACACACACACGTGATATGATATGCATAGCTGCATAGAAACATATACATATAATATACACAATATATATATATAGTACACAATACATATGCATATTCCTCTATTTACCGCGAAACACATGAGTACGCACACACAGTTTCTACGGAGCAAAAGGCAGCTCTCGCCGAGCGGCTGTCCAGATCCCGCTTGCCCGATCCGCTTGCGCCCGAGAGCACACGCCATCCAGTCAAATCGCCTGGCGCGTGCGCAAAGGTCTCGAGGCCTTTTCCTGTTTTTGTTTCTTCTTATGTTTGTTTGTTATCATTACTGTATATATATATATACACACATATATATATATATATATATATATATATTCGGGACATCCAAAAAGAGTCCACTTGATGTGGCGTATCTGGAGACATCCGGAAATCTGGTTCACCACCATCGTCGATTCACAAAAGAGTGCATTTGCTGTGGCTCTGGATGCTTGGCTGAAAGGGGGCCGAGGCCACAGAATCAGGGAAAGCAGCAACGCCAAGACTCCAAATTCATCTGAGAGCGAATGATCATAATTCACCAGCCCGAAGCAAGGGATCCCTAATAAAGCAGCCATCACCATGGGTGAGCTTGTTTGACCCTGTAATGAGGATCTTCAAGGACCTCCAGAACAGGAGCCTTGATAAGGGGGTCGTGACAGAACTTTTCGCAGCGAATGAAGGTGTTCACAGGGAGTTTCCCCAGAGAGACCATGCGGTTTGAAAGCCTGAACCGAAGGTCAGGATCCCCAGAGTTGAACTCTCACCAAAACTAATATGATACTGCCGCCACACTCATGCTTGCTTCCAGGACCCCCTCCCTCCGAATCCCACTAACATCGGTTTGTCTCCCCTCAAACAAATAGCCGGGCTGGCCATACGACCAGGTGGCTTGATTTCATCAGGGCCATAGCTACCTTCCCATAACAACTATGCTTAGAGGGCAAATTTGGCCATAACCCCCCTCAAAACATTCAAGACGGAAGCCCTCCCCATGCGTTTGCCACCTGCGGGGTGCTGCATTTATCAGGCAAGTTGCCATTCATGCAGTTGCTTTCACTTCTTCTGGGGCCCCCTCCTCCCATTTGAGACACACCCATGTCAAGGACTCGGATCCTCCCATTCAGCTGGTATTTGGGTGATTTTTTACTTTTCCCTATGGCCCATGTGGGTATGTGCCCCAAACCGTGTTTGCTTTCCTTTGGTCGCCACTCAGAAAACCGCCCCTGGCAGAAACACCCAATCGTATCATGAGACGGGGCTGGGGCCTGGACTGGGAAGATCTTTGAAGACCTTCTCCAGTGTTGGAGCCATGGATGGCGCTTTGGCTCTCCATGAAGCGTTTCTTTGCACAATGGCTCACAAGTCTCACGACCCGCGAGCCAACAGAATCGCCGATGCGAGTCTATACAGTGGAGAGCCGTCACATGGAAGCGAGCGACTCAACTTGCCGTTTCGGCGCCACCACCTTGCATGAGGCTCATCATCTGGGGGCTCGCATACCTCAGGTGAGTCACCAAGTCACAGTCGCTTGAAAAGAAGACGTCCGAGGCCACGAAGCTGTCCGTGCCGGGGAAGATCCACTGCTCGGCGTCGTTGAGGTTGTTTGTCAACGACTGTGCGAAATCCTGACAGGAGCGGTCCAACGAATCGTTGAGACTTGAGATTGTGGAGTGCAACTGCCCCTTGAGCTGATCCTCTGCGCCGCTGAGCCCCTCGATGCCTTGCGAATCCCAG